TTAAGTGCCCTAGATGTCCAAACACTTCTATTATAGTCTCAGAGATGCTGCCGGAAATCTTTGAGATACAATAAAGAGATGAGAGTTCTGGAGGTGATTTTTTTAACTTTTCACAATGAGGAAAGATTGAATCTCAGAAGTTGAAAAAGCAGTGAGTTTGATACCAGTTTCACCCATCAAGCACCCAAAGGAGAAAAAATCATGTGAGAACTTATTCACGTATTACGTAAGGAATACTCATTACATAAAATAATATGCGATCATTAAGAGTCAATGCAGATTTACCAAAAATGAATGCAGAAAAACCCATATGTGAGGGAGGTGATGCTTAAAGGGCATGGAAGGATTGGACATGGTCTCTGTCGCTGCAAATCCAGAAGTAGTACTGCAGTTTTTATTCATCAGGCTCATTTTTTCCTCCCTGCCACCTCCGCCCCCTCCACTAACGTTTTCCTGTCTCCCTACACGAATGCATTGTGTGTGCCCGTCTTGCAGTTCTAGTTTTGTTATTTTTAAGCCCCATCTTCACACTGAGTTTATATCTGGCCATTTCCTATATTAATGTTCCTATGATGAGCACAGTTTGCAGATAGCCGTCCACGGTCTTCTTAAATATCTTGACCCCTTCCAGTTCTTCTCATCTAAGTCTACGCTGTGTCTGGTCTTGTTTGGTGGTTTTTCTGAACCTACCAGGTGTTTCAAGTAATTATGTAGTCTTCTGTGAAAGATGTTTATATATGAGCTATCATCAACATCAGTCCTTTCGCTTGTATCTTAGGAGACGGCCAGAATACAAATTCTGAAGATAAGCTAATTTAAAATATTGTTTCTTATTTTACCCAGGATTAAAATAAGTCAAAGCCATTTTCTCAAGTTTGAGTGACATAAAAGACCACTTGTAAAGAAACAAAAAATTCTCCAAAACACCCAAGGTTGAATGAAATTATTTTTAAGACAATATGGCTTAAATGCATCTAGATATAAACTGAGCTATAAATACTTTATGCTTATACAACTAGAAGGCCCAAATAAAAACATATCAATTAAGTATAAGTGAAAGTACAAGACCAAAATATTCTGATGGACTCTATCAATTTAATACGGCAGAGGCTATCATTTTACCGACACTAAAGCAGTGCTTGGGATCCAAACAGGGACCTGATGGATTGGCCCAGATTCGTTCCATCTCAGCAGGCCTGGGACCCTGAGCTGCAGGCTGCCTCCCTTCCCCCACCACTTCTCCTGTGACTCTACCCTTCCGACATTCGGCCCCAGACCATGGGACGTGACTGGTGGGGGAAGCCTCCCTTGCATTCTATCCACACCTTTCTCATTTATTTCAGCAAACTAAACTACAATGACTTGCTCCCAAAGAGATCGAAAGCACAGGAACTGACTTGAGGCTGAATTTCATAGCAGTTTTTGGTTGAATTGAAGCCAATCAAATGCTCCAGAATATACACTTTTACTATCATTTAGGTAATCATCAGAATAACAACACCAAAATGAATAACTTCTCAAAAAGAATCTCCAGCCTGCAGGTCTCCATGGCCTCTAGTTGGAGAAGCAACTCAAGCTCAAGCATCTGTTTCTCACTTGAAGGATCTAGTTTTCCTTCTCTACAGTACCAGACATGCCTGTGGAAGCTAATCTATTATGTTTTCTACTAAAATATTCACCTTGGGTTATTTATTTATTTATTTATTTATTTATTTATTGAGACAGAGTCTTGCTCTTGTCACCCAGGCTAGAGTGCAGTGGCACAATCTTGTCCCACTGCAACCTCCACCTCCCAGGTTCAAGCGATTCTCCTGCCTCAGCCTCCCAAGTAGCTGGGATTACAGGTGCCCACCACCACGTCTGGCTAATTTTTGTATTTTTAGTAGAAATGGCGTTTCACCATGTTGGCCAGGCTGGTCTCAAACTCCTGACCTCGTGATCCTCCCACCTCAACCTCCCAAAGTGCTGGGATTACAGGTGTGAGCCACCACGCCTGGCCAGGATTTTTATTTATTTTCTTGGTGGATCACTTGTTTACGCTTGTGTTTAAATTTTATGCACATTTTTATAATCTTTTGTACTACTCAGTAAACATTTATGAAGTACTTTCTCAAAGTATGAAATGTTATATAATATAGTCTAAAACTATGTTCTAGCACTTTACATGGCCATAGAATTTTGGAATTGGAATGAACTCAGTGTTAGTCAGGGTTCTCCCAAGAAACAGGACCTTTCTGTCTACAGGATCTATAGAGAGAAAGAGACAGGAGGACATTTACTGGGGGAACGGCTCACACAAGTATGGCGGCCAAGCAGTCTCGCAATCTGCCATCTGTAAGCTGGAAAACCAGGAAAGCTTTTGGTCTAATTCAGTCTGAGTCTGAAGGCCTGAGAACTAGGGGTGGCAGGTTTGGGGGTCATGTATGTCTTGCAGTCAGAAGGCCTGAGAACCAGGAAATCTGATCTTTAAGGCTCTAGAAGAGAAAGAGCATTCGTCATTCTCCGCCTTCTTGTTCTGTGCAGGCCCTCAGTACCCTCAGTGGATGGGACGATGCCTGCCCACATTGCTGAGAGTGGATCTTCTTGGTCCACTGATTCGGATGCCAGTCTCTCCCAAAAACAGTCTCACACACACACCCCCAGAAATAACATGTTATCAACTATCTGGGCACCCCTTAGCCCAGTCAAGTAGACACATAAATTCATCATTGTACCCAGTAAAATTCCTCTCTAAAATATCCTGCATAAGTATCCATTTCGTGTGTGTTGAAAAACCTGCAGTTACTATCTTATAAGACAATTTATTCCATTTTTTCTGTTGGTTTAAATCCTACTCTCTGAAACAACGTACAAATGTAATCTTTATTGCAGTGAGCACCTTCATCTGTGTGAATACAGGTTTTCTCAGTCCTCAGCTTGCTCTCCCCCAGACAAACACTCTCAGGGCTTCTGACCACTGTCACATCACAATGCTGAGGAATATGAGAAATGGCTCCATCGTTTAGTTGATATGTTCTGTATACAATCCAGTTTCCTTAATAGGAAGTTCAATAGATTATGTAATCCATAGGTCTTATCTCAAAGAAACAGATTTTTATATCAATTTTGTTTCTGGAGAGAATAATATAAATGAGCCAGTTACAGTGTCTTATGCCTATAATCCCAGCACTTTGGGAGGCTGAAGTGGGAGGATCACTTGAGCCCAGGAGTTTGAGACTAGCCTGGACAGCATAGTGAGATCCCATCTCTACAAAAATTAGGAAAAAAAAAATTTAGCCAGGCTTGGTAGTGCACACAGCTGTAGTCCCAGCTACTCAGGAAGCTGAAGCAAGAGGTACCTTCAGCCAGTAGGTCAAGGCTGCAGTGAACCTTGATTACGCGCTGCATCCCAGCCTGGAGTAAGACCCTGACTCAAAAAAATAATAGTATAAATCACTACAAGCTAATATCGGGAATCGTTCTATTGAAAAGACAGGGATGCAACACATTTTAAATGATATTAAGCATACACTGGCTTAAATTGTATGTATCTATACATTTGGGCCTTGAACAATGTGAGGCTTAGGAACACCAACATCCCTGAAGTCAAAAAACTATGTGGAGCTTTTGACTCCCCCAAAACTTAACTACTAATAGGCTGCTGTTGACTAGAAGCCCTGCCTATAACATCAATAGTCTATGAACACATATTTTATAGGTTATATGTATTATATACTGTATTCTTAAAGTAAGCTAGAGAAAGGAAAATGTTAGTAAGAAAAATCATAAGGAAGAGAAAATGTATTAACTACCCATTAAGTGACAGTGGATCATCATAAAGGTTTTCATCTTCATTGTCTTCACAGCTGGTGGCTGAGGAGGAGGAGTGGGGGGAAGGGTTGGTCCTGCTGTCTCAGGGGTAGCAGAGGCAGAAGAAAAATCTGTGTATAAGTGGACCCACAAAGTTCAAGCCCATGTTGTTCCAGGGTCAACTGTATTTTATTTTACACAGAATATGTATTATATTATATATAATATTATTATATGTAAATATATATATTTAGGCCAATTTTTATATTAATTTTATAATTGTATAAAATTATATATTTACATATATAATTTTTATATATGAGTTATGTAAAAATATATAACTCATAACTATACATTAAATATAATTATATAATTATATTTTATACATGTATTTTAATTCCATGTGTATATATGTGTGTGTGTGTATATATGTGTATGTATATATATACACAAATGCACACATATACATATATATATTCATTCATTTATTTAATCTATTTACTTCATTTTACAACTGAAGAAGGAAAATATGAAAGTTTGAAGGGGCTTGGATTGATTGGGTGGAACAAGAAAGTGATGGGCACCAGAATTGCTGGGGCCTTCTCTCTTGGTCCTTGTCTCTTGGTCCTTCTGTAAGATGGCCTTTCCAAACTTAGACACAGGATCTAATAGGTCTTCGCAAAGCCCCTTGACAAAACCAGGCAAGGTACTAACCCCCAGCTGAGCCCCCCAAAGAATGGATGTCCTGCTACCCTATCTTTGCTCTTACCTCTCCATGAGCAGGCCCCTGGCCTTAAGGGTGAGCAAACAGGACATGATGAATAAGTCAGAGCCTGTGGTCACCAATTCCCCCACTCTGGCCCCACGGAATCCTGGCTGTATGTGAGGAACCAGTGACATGCTGGACACGTTTCTAAGAACCAGAGTGGCATGATATCCTAAGGCCAGATCACAATCAGAGGGGAGAGAAGGCCTGGCTAGAGTCACATGCAACTGTTTTCTAAAGAGGTGCGGTTGGAGGCCAGGCAGTGGCCATAGCTCTTTTGAGGGTTTGGCTTTTTTTGTGGTTGGTTAGATGTGTGTTTTTCAGGTACACATCTGTGTCCTCCCAAAAGGCAACACTGGCGGTTGATAGTCATAACTGTATGTAAGAACATATAACCACACAGAGTGAAAATGACATTTTTGTGATTAATTCTTCTTTCCAACAGCTGGCTGTCCCAACTCCTTGATTAAAGAGCTCCATCACTTCAGGATTCTGGGAGAAGAGCAGGTGAGTGAGCATCTCAAAGGCTGCATCAGACTGCCATGAAAGATAGACGCTAATGAGACAGTTTGGGCTCCCCAGGGAGGCCGAGTATGTCTCCTGACCCTGGGCGCCCTGAAATGGGGAAGAAAACCATGGTGGAGATATGTGTGAGGACACTTTTTTCCTCTTCTATCCATCAGACCTGACAGGTTATTAATTGCTACATCTGCTATCTGCCAGTGTGTTTCATCTCAAGACTCCAGCAGGAAGCAGGCACTGCATCGTGGCAGACGAGCAAACAAATACATGCAGAGATGAATTATGCCTGAGGGATTGATGGTCACAGACATTGCTGAGTTGCTGTCTGTGGGTGAATGTGTGAGCTTTTTTCTTTCGTTTCTTTTTTTTTTTTTTTTTTTTAACCAGGTTTTTGTGTTGTGTGTTTGTTATCTGTATTTCGTGGCAGCCTCTTTGTACACGGGTATGAACGTGTGACATCTATACAAAGGGTGGCCATTGAAAGTGGATTATTTAAATGCTGTGTTGTGCTCAGTGAGGCATGTCATAATTTAAATAGATATGCTAAGTAAATAATTCAGGGTACTAAATATTATATATATGTACACACATATATAGTTTGGACTGCTTAAAAATACATTTCTTGATCCCTATATGGAACTACGAACTCTGTATTAGTATGTTAAATCTAGGTGTCAAGTTATCCTTAAAATACACTAAAGAGTTGGCAAAAGGTTGGTTGACCTAATTTCCAGTGTTATTTTATTTGATTGATTGATTGATTGATTTTTTGAGATGGAGTCCCGCTCTGTCATCCAGGCTGGAGTGCAGTGGCACGATCTTAGCTCACTGCAAGCTCCGCCTCCCGGGTTCAGGCCATTCTCCTGCCTCAGCCTCCTGAGTAGCTAGGACTACAGGCACCTGCCACCACACCTGGCTAATTTTTTGTATTTTTAGTAGAGATGAGGTTTCACCATGTTAGCCAGGATGGTCTCAGTCTTCTGACCTCATGATCCATCTGCCTCAGCCTCCCAAAGTGCTGGGATTACAGGCGTGAGCCATCGCGCCCGGCCCAGTGTTATTTATTTTTACTCCTAAAGATCGTCTCTGCCAACTTTGACCAGGAAATATGCAAATAGAGATGTGGCAGCTCACTTTCATCAATGAGTTTTTGGTTTGTGTGTTTTTGATTGCTGTATATATGTGGCAAGGTAAAACTGCCCATTTCCAATATGAGAATAAAAACAAAAGGATTAGTTAGGAGAGGATAAGAAACTGGAATCACTTCCACATCCTGGAGTTAGAGAATTACAGTACACCCCCTTCATTTTTTTATATTGTGAGTTTCCAGAATAGCAGGCATAAATGTGTATTCAAATACAAGCGAAATCAGTTATTGCATATTGCAGGTAAAAGTTGATAACTGACTCTCCTAAACATAACTACTATGAAGACACCTGGATCTCACAGCCATTTTCCAGTAAAAGCCTAAGACTTCTTACAGCAAGAATCACTGGTTGTTACCCTGACATTTCTGCTCAGATAGTGGAGCCTTCTCTTCGAACTTGTACCAATGTTTGCAGATTGTTTCCATTTTTGTTTTAGAGTCAATGGGTAATTAGTAAGGAAAGAAACCAACAGTAATCATCTCCTCAGATGTAAGATGTAGGCATGGGCTTAGACAAAAGAGTGGCCAGTTCCACCTGGTAACAGTAGGGGGTGCAGAATATGCAGGCACAGACATATGAGCATTGGATTTGATGGTAAACCTTCCGTAAGAGCTCTGCTGGTTGTTTCTCTTTTCTTGGTGAAACAGGAAGCTAGGTCATCAGCTGAGAGTAAAGATGGGGGAAGAGTTTTACAGAGAAAGGAGATGTATTAGTCTAGGTCTCACATTGCTATAAGTAAATACCCGAGACTGGGTAACTTACAAAGGAAAGAGGTTTAATTGACTCACAGTTCCACATGACTGGGGAGGCCTCAGGAAACTTACAATCATGGCGGAAGGTGAAGGGGAAGGAAGGTACCTTCTTCACAAGGTTGCAGGAGGGAAAAGTGCAAGCAGGAGAAATGCCAGTCAATTGTTACAACCATCAGATCTCATGAGAACTCATTCACTATCATGAGAACATCATGGGGGAATCACCCCCATGATCCAATCACTTCTACCCTTGGTCCCGCCCTTGACACTTGGGGATTATGGGGATTACAATTTGAGATGAAAATTTGGGTGGGGACACAGCGAAACCATGTCAGGAGAGGATAATGAAATTGTCATTTAGGAGGGTGCGGAGGGAATAAACTTGCGAAATGGTTGAATTTGGAGTGAGGTCAATCCCCAGGTGTTTTTCTGACACACTCATCTGTGTAGGCACAGACGCAGAAAAGGCACTGGCACTGAAGTTTTGCCATCGAAATGTAACAAAAACAAGAGGGAGGCTTAGAAGCTGAGGGTGGATCTCATCTTACAGTGTTACAACAACAGAGTAAGCTGAGGGTGAATCTAAGGGAGTGATCGTGACTGACCATGAAATTTCAGCTGGGCAAGCAGAGAAGCCAGATCAGAGAGAGGGCAGGGAAAATTTGTTACAGACACCAGTGGCTCGAAGAATTTTCGGGATTTGAGTACTAGAAGGGTTGAACTGGACTAACAGGCATCGGCCAAAGGATGAAAGACTTCACATTGAGTTTGTGGAGGAACTGCATAGTCAGCACCGACAAGGTCAGAGGATGCCTAGGGAGGCTGTGTGTCTGATTTCAGATGGAGGACAAGGTGACGAGAGATGTTGAGGTCATGGAATTGGGAAGTCAGAAAGTTGGGAGTACCACCCATGTGCCCACTGAGATCTTCCAGAATTGCAAACTGAAGATTTGAGAAATGAGAGAGAGAGAGAAGTGGATGTCAGTAGCTGACTGCAGAAGGGGAAATAGTGCATGGTGTAGGCTGATGGGTTGAAATGGAAAGTTGGAGGGCTTTAAAAGGAAAAAGGGAGAATGTTTTCCTTACAACGCTGTAGAGCAATGCTTTGTGGTACTGGGAGTGCAGTCGCAAAAACATTTGAGGGTGCTGCAGGCGAAGTAGTGTCCTCGGGTATGAGCCTGTTTCAGTTAGGGAAGAATGTAAGAACAACATTGAGAAAGCAGATTGCAGTTACGGGGCAGTTACTGCTGATTGTCCGTGAGTCCCTCAATCACGGGGGAAGGGTCTCAGGGTTTGGGGTAGCTGGAATATGTGGTAGGAAAAAGGATACACAGAGTGGATGTGGAGCTTGGGGCTCAGCCTGGAGAGATGGCACGGCACAGGAGTCAGACATTCTTTGGTGACTGACATGAACAGGGCATCTCAGTAAGGAACATTTATATTCTGATTATTCATGACAAGACCTACTGGCCTCTAGGCAGATGGTGGCAATGAGTCTCCCAAGAGGAAGCAGAGAACTCTTGTCCCCAGCATTCCTGCCAGCGGTGGGGGCAGCTGCTCCAGGAGCTGGTGAAACTCTTGGGATCTCACTGGACGCTTGAGGCAACTGACATCACTTGATAAAATAAAATGTTTATATTAATGTCTGTTACAAGCATTCTTGGACAAATCATTTTTGTCTCTCTAACTTAGCTTTCTGTAGACAAGGGAGAGTGAAGCTCAATCATCTCTTAGAATATTTGTAAATAAATAGGATTCCAAGTAAGTTTTAAATATTAAGTGCTATGCTAAAGCTTCTCTGATTTCAAACGCTGTTTACAATCAGCTTTCCAGAGTGGCAACAAAATAGTAAAATAAGTATAATACTCACTTAGAAAATGAGTTGATAAAACCTAAAAAGATGCTGGTTAATTACTAATTCATTATTGGATGGCAGAGACCCACAGCAGCCCTCTAATTTCTTTGTATGTGGTTCCTTTCTGTTTTCATTGATCTTTAATAGGTATCTTGATTTTTTAGATTTGGATTAAAAATTAAACACTATATGTCATTGCCTTCCCGAAACAAAAATAAACTCCTTAAAATAATATACTTATATTAGCTTCTTAGCCCCTTCTTTGATTTGTGTTCACAATTCATATTCATATAGCACCTTTCAACATTCCTTCCCCCTAGTCCAAATTCTTTGGCAAAGACATTATCACATTATAGGAAACTAAAGTCACTCTGCAGTTCTAGGTGAGCCCTACAGAAATCAGGTGTGATGTCTGGAGTCCATAAGGTTTGCAGGGCCTTTGGACCAATTGCATTTGAGAAGTACCTCCATTTATACCAGCTTCCTCCACCTTAGGTTGAATCACCAAAATTTTATGGAAATAACCTTTACTCATTCAACAAAAATGTATTGAATACCTTCTTGTACTAGTATTGTGCTAGTGTCGGATAAAATAGTAAACGAGGAAGTCACAGTTACTGATCATAATAGATGCTAGGATAGAAACAAATAGATATGTCACCTACTTTAGATGAGGGGTGGTTGAGAAGCCCTGAGACTAAGCGTTGAGGTGACACCAGCTATTGAAGGAGCTATCATTACGGGAGTGGGCAGAAGAGCATCCCAAACAGAGGAAAGCACACATCCAGTGCCCCCAAGGAGGTGAAGAGCTTGCTTTATTCAAGACACTAAATTCAACCAAGGTGGCTGGAAAATACCAAGCAGGAGGGACAGTGCCAAAAGATGAAGGCCACCTGGACCATGGACGCCAGGGTTAAGCATATGGGTTTTGTTGTGAGTTCAGTGGGAAATCCTTGAAGGTTTAAGCAAGGGGCTAGCATTATCCAAATTACATTTTGAGTATGTCAGTCTTGTTGCAATATGGAGAGACTCTGGATTAAGACAGTTGGCAGCAGAGACAAAAAGAAGTGAATCTTGAGAGGGAGAATTCAAGGGCTTGGTGACTGACTGGCTGTAGGCCAGGGAAAGGAAGGAGTTTAAAAGTTCTATTCAACTGAGATGAGCAAAATGGAGCAGGTGAGATCAGAGGCATGGGATGTGAGCTTCAATTCTGAACACATTTGCTATGCC